CTACCCTCCTGAACACTATATGTACGTATTAAAAATGTAAATTAAAAAATAGACAAGTATTTTAATAAATAAAACATTCATTTAATAAATAATATTTATAATTTGATTAATATTATTTTAAAGTAGAGTTCATTTTACGAAGCAAATAATATAAAATTAAAATTATATATATTTATTATTTTTATTACTTTTTTATGAATATGAACTAACAGATTTGTACGGCATTGATTTTATATAGACGATTGCGTTAAATAAAAATAAACTATCTAAATGCCGTACAAAAAAATGTCGTACTAAATATCACCCAAAAGTACATTTTTTTGCATGGATTTTTCTGAAGTTTTTTTCCTCCTACAAACCCTTGGACCAAAAAAAATTTACGGCATGTGGAAAAATGTTATCTATGCATAAAATACTATCAAAATAAATTAATTTTATGTAGTATCAGATCATCCCCCAGACTCGTGGAAAAAAGTGGATTTTAACCCTGGATTTTTCTCCCTTGTTGCATAATTTTTTCACGGCGTTGCGGAATAATCAATTAGAATAGGTATTTAAATTGTATGAAACAAACGCCGTTAATAATCAAATRATGTAATAGACCCGGGGTTTTGTCAGAAAATCAAAAATTTTTTCCGACTTTGTGGCTTACTATTTTTAACGGCACTACGTGTTTTCTCATTATTTTCGATGTATCTATAGGTGGTAAGAATGCCATAAAAAATCATTTGATAAAAAAGCACCCGGTTATTTTGTGCTTTTTAATTCTCACCTGCACTCAGTTGGACAGCTTACAAGTCACGGCATAGTGCTAAAAATTATTATTTTATGCCCTTCTATTGTCCAATAAAGGTTTCCTGCGGGATCATATGATCCATCGATTTTTTAGGTCGGGTCTGTAGTCTATAAGAATTCGTGTGGCGCTTAACGTGTTATTCCATGATTTTCTATTTCACAGGTTTATCGCAGAATTTTGTTTAACAGAAATTGAATATTAGGAAAAATAACAAAATATAAAATTTATGATCTATAAAGGATTTGATACCGAACACTAGCCGATACTGATAGTGTTTTGCGATAAAAGTCGGATAGTAAGATAATAGGTAGAAAAACACTTCCGTGATATTGAAAGTGTTTATCAACATAATTTCAATCGGAAAAATGATCTACAATGAGATCCGTTATAACGAGTCATGATTAACCGTTTGAGTGCCAAGGAGCGATTTTGCGCTTTAGACTACAGGTCCATGCTAAAAAATCGAT